TTGTGCGGGTGTGGTGGCGCGCGGGGGGGGGGGGGGGGGGGGGGGGGGACCTTAGAAGCAGCAGACTGAGTCGTCTCTACAGCTCTGTTTTCGCTGCCTTTTCTTTTTTTTCTTTTTACTGAACGTCTAATAATCCCCAAGCAGTTATTTCACAGATTATATTTATTGAACATTAAATTATGGGCTTTATTTTGGAAAGGGTTTGTAATTTAACAGTTTTTTGTTTTGTTTTTCTCTCCCCCCCCTTCAATAATCAATCTTCTTTGCGTTGTTTTTTTTCCCCCCTTCAATAATCAATCTTCTTTGCCTCAAATTTCTTCTTTTTTTTTTTAATTCCTTCTTTAAGGGCAACTTTCCTGCAAACAAAACCCTCACCTCTTATCCATCTATTTTATGGAACTTGTCAGGGTTACCCGTGGAGCTGCAGCCAATCCCACCAGTCATCAGGTGCGGGCGGGGTACATCCTTCCGACCTGGTGCGGAAACTTTTTGACTTGCGGGCCACAGCGGGTCTTAAAATTTGACAAGTAGGCCCGGTAGGTCAGGAGCAGCTAGATGTGAAACTAAGAGAAAAGATAAAAGTTATGCACAAAGTGCTGAAGTGCTTTTTAAGTCTTTTCTACGCCATCTGCTGGGGAGATGCAGGTATTGCAGGGAAAAGGCAGAAGTATAATAATAATAATATCATTTGGACAAGTTTAGCTGGCCAGATGAAAAAGTCATCATCATCATCATCATCATCATCATCATCATTACTACAAAGACGTGTTTAAATACAAGCAAACATCTCATAACTGTGGACAGGTCAGAGGTTAAAATGCTGATGACCATGCTGTACAGGTGCTAACATCCACGCCTGTTGGTTAGACACTTGGATATTTCGATATTTCGGGATATTGGATATTCAAGTAGTAGTTTTTTTTTTTTTTTTTTTTGTGGTCCAAAAAAAACTAAAATAACCATTTCCATCCTGGTCTTCTGCCCCCTGGTGTTACGTTTGTGTCACTGGCGAATCAAAAAAAACAACAAAAAAAAAAAAAAAAACACCTTTTTAGTACGTTTGCCGTTGAGCTTGTTGTGAGTTGTTCGTGTCAAATACATAAAGTACAGAGGCATCGCGCGGCGTCTGTTTTGACTGTTTCACGTCTTGAATCGCAAACTGCTGCTGCAGGTCGGGATGAATGGATAGTGTTTCACGGGGGGGGGGGGGTGGGGGGGTGGGGGAATGGGAGGACTCAGCCCTGCCTGCCCTGCTCCTGCCAGCTCTGAACCACCAGCTTGTTTTACTGTAAGTGAAATCCTCTTCTGGCTGCTCAATGACTTCCCTCTTCCTCTCTGTCTACACTGTAAGTGGACCAGCGTGCTGCCTTCTGGGATTTCCCTGACATCTGCTCTTGCCCTTTTTGTCTTGTTTTTCCTGTTTGGGGAGAGGGGCAGGGAGAGGGGCAGGCCTTTTTTGGGGAGGGGGGACCAGATTTGGTATTGTTTGTTAAATTAGATTAAATAGTATCATAGAAGAAATATAGACACCAAAGGTTGCAGCATTTGTAGAGATCTGAATCATTCCAAGGGCATGGCTTATTCAAACACTGATTCCACTACGTGTATATTTGGATTTCGTATGTATTTAATGAATCTTATTCTTGTAATGTCTTAAAGGATTTTTTTTTTTTTTTTTTTTTGCTGCTCCTTAGTAGTAAATGGTGGGAGAAGGAAGGAGAACAAACACCGTCTCCCGTCCTCGCTTTTTTTAATAAGAAACTCTTTTGTATGATTGACCAATTATGAGCTTTCGGTTTTGTACCGAAGTACTTTGTGGGTTCTTCAAGGTTAATGTTATGGGTTTAGAATGACATTAGGTCTGAATCACGTCGCGTCGCATCACATCACATGAATAATGTTTACAATAAATCCTGAACATGAAGTTGTTCATGAAGTGTTTTTTTTTTGTTTTTTTTTGGAGGTGGTTACAATCTCAAAAACAGTACAGACAACAAAAAAAAGAGCATCGTTTCATTTTTGTTTTATTAGAAACATTTACTATACATTGTAAATCTTGGGGGGAGAAGAAAAAAAAAACAAAAAAAGAAGAACTTGTGTAAATACAATAATAATAATTACAAAATTGTAATTCACAAACATAAGTTATAAGAGATAAACCTGCAATATCACATGTCCCGATAGGGCATGGTGGCACAATGTAGCAGAGTTAAGAAGAAGGAAAAAAAAAATGAAAAAAAAAAAAATTTTTTTTTTTTTTTTTTACTCTAGCCATCAATGATGACAGTAAGGAACACAAACCACTGTGGCAAACCTCTTTTTTACCGTTTACAGAACAAACTACCGCCAGCTGATGCTGGCCCATAAACTAATGCACTACAACCACGATTAGCCAGGTATGAAACACCTCTAATGTGCGCTGGTAAAATTGGAAACGCTATACCCAAGACAAACTGTCCGACTGGATTGGTTTCTCTTGGAAAGGTTGCAAGTTTCGCCCAATAAGCTCCCACCTCAGTCCCTGTTTCGTTTTCGATGCAGAAAAATGCACAACTGCGTTAGCGTCAGGTTTTGTGTCCAATCACTCCAGATAATCACGAGTAAAATGTTGAACATCCTCAAAGTGTAAAAAAAAATTTAGTCTACAGGACTGATGTGGTCGCTAAGTCTGGGCCCCAAACTTTCAACTGTCCAAAGAGTCCAACAATGAAAATGTACAGGAGAGAAACAGCCCACGTGCACTGACGCGAGAGCAGCTAACAAGTGCTTAATCCTCTGGAAGATGCCTTATATTTATTTATGTGAAGTCTTTCGAACGACTGAGCGATGTGGTCTTGGCGGCTAATCGGGACCGCGTTTCGGATAATTTGAAGTAAAATTCGCCGCGTCGATAAATCACAACAACAGGAAGTTTTAGTTGAAGGCCAAAACCGGTTTCTTGCCTATTGATTCGTTGAACAACAACAACTGCATTCCGACCCACGACACTGAACGTGCGCTGCTCTCGCTGTGCTAACTGACCGTACGACATGCATGCAATCTAATACAGTAATGACTCGTGATGTGTTTGTGTTAATGTGTATATCGAGTTATAGAGATCTACTACACAGTGAATCCTCCTTCTGCCCTTTTGTCACCACTGATTCCACAGGGAAACATACCGCACACACACACACAAAAAAAAAACAAAAACAAAAACAAAAAATTCCCTACTGCACAAGAGGAGACCACAGTAACTAGTACCAAGAACGAGGATCTGCGTGTATTTCTGTCTAGAAACTAAATGAAAGTGCAAAGGTTCTGAAATTCCAGAGAGCGAGAACAACCAAACTGTTAAGAGTTCGGTCATTTTCAGCGACGGCGCCCCCGGCTAGTTCTAGAGAATGTGACTTGGCGAAAAATTAGCTATAGCAATTTACCACATTACAATGCATAAATGCAGTGCTTCTCAAAATAGTGGAGTGAGCCATCTGGGGGGGGGGCTTTCAGTACACTTTCAGTCTTTTATCAATGCCTGAACGATAAACAACAAGCCTTCAGCCACTAGATGGCAGCAGAGCGGGCTTTATTCATGTATTTTGACAATCAGGTATTGTCATTGGTTAAGTGGTGTGTACATATAAATAAATAAATATTACCAGGTGCTCAATAGTATTTTAATT